GAGGCGCAGGGCAGGGCAGCGGCGGAGGAGGGAGCAGGCAGGCAGGCAGGCAGGCAGGCAGGCAGGGGCAGCCCGAGCGCGCGGTGCTTTCCTGCCGCGCCTGGCTGCGTGTGGCTCTGTGTGTGTGTGTGCGCCTGGGTGCACGCGCGCCGCCGCCGTCGGGAGGCGGAGGGCTGCCCGCGCCCGCGCCGTGGCTCGCAGCAGCAAAAGGAGGCGGAGAAGGAGGGGAATTTTCCGGGGTGTCTGCGCGAGGGAGGGCCAGCGCGTGCGCCGCCCAGGCTAAGGCCGGTCCGCCCTGACGGTGCCTTTGCCTGGAGGAGCGCGAGGCGAAGCGAGGCGAGGAGGCTTCTGCAGCCAGGGAGACGGGGGCGCCTTCTTCGGATCTGGAGCTCCTGCGTTTTGGTACATCCGGGCAAGGGCTGCCATTGGAAGCGCCAAGCCTGGCAACACCCAGAGAAGGAGGGGGAGCGAGCGCTCCAGCAGGAGAGAGGCGGCGGGAGCAGAGAGCGGGCGGGCGCGCGAGCAAGCGGCACGTCGGGAGGCCGGCGACAGCGAGCCTTTCCGTATTCGCCCCGCCGCCACACCTGACTTCGGCCTGCCGGAGTGGTGACGTCCGGGGTGGGGTTGAATGTTGACGTTCGTCGATATTACAGGAATGCACGGAATTCTTTAAAAGAAAAATGCATGGTGTTATTCATCCTTTTTTTTTAATCCATATTTATTAAATTACGTATTCCCTATTGACTCGCAGATCCCAGGGCAAGATGCAGTGGGTGAAAGGAATCCAAGAAACAGTAGGACGCAGTAAAGCAACCTAGCGGTATGGAGGGAACAACCCGGGCTACTGCCATTGTGACCTCAGAGCTTGGATGAATAGCTAGATCTTAACTTGGTATTTGCACCCGCAGGATGCCCGGGCCAGAATGTCCCTCTGCATTGCATGTTGAGTTGAGCCATGGTTTCCCTAACTTCCTGGCTTCACATAATGCATGAAACCAGCAGAAAGCAAACCACTTTGTGGCTGAAGGCGTGACATGCCCCAGGTGTTAACATTCTCCTAATGGACAATCAGCAGATTCTAATACTTGAGCAGGTGCATTTTGAACGGTTTAGGTCTTTCTGATTTTTCATTTGACAGTGATGCTTTCTATACTGAAGCACGATATATGCAACATACGTTCATACCCATCATATTATTTCCTTCTAGGTTCTGCAACTTTATGCGAACCAGGCTTCCCTGTTTTGTGCCCAGACACCCTCTACTGCAAATTAACTAGATTATGGACATATTTAAAAAGCCCATAGATATGATATGAGAGGAGAACTAAGAGATATAGTGATATGTACATACATACATGACTGTTATGCTATTTCCTTTCAGGGTAAGTAGTGTTATGCAAGGTGCAGAAAAGGAATAAAAAATAGTAAGCCAAAGAACTTAAAGGCATTTGTTAAAGTATTTCACTATACCTCTCTGCCAGCCCAGCTTCAACTCCAGGGCAGGGAAGGATATCTTGTGAGAATCTGGTGGTGGCCCAGTGCATTGCTCTACAGGTGGCTCAATGCAGGCACCAGAACCTGGATTGCTCCTAAGGCCAATGTGCTGTATGTAATCTGCTAAAGGACAAAACTCCATGAGTTCAATTCCCAGTAGAGGGTGTGAACCCCATAGAATAACAGCTGGCTACCTTCATCAGACGAATCATAAGGAGGACAAGACCACTCACATAGCTCTTCCTCCTGCTGCTTAATATAGGTGATCTGAAAGTGGAAGACATCAGTCCATTGTCATGATCAGATCATTATCACCTTGAGACTGATGCCCACCACTAATCTTTGTGGGAAGGGTGTGTGTGGACCTAGTAACCTGGTCCATCCTAGGCACTTTAGGATCCTTTGGGTTTCCAAAGGGCTCTTGGGGAGTTGCCTAGTAGGCAGTTCTCTAGAATATCTATTTATTGATTTAGTTTGATTTGTTGAGTTTGTCCAACTCCAAAAAGACTCTGGGAGGCTTACAATAAGTCCAATATGTACATTAAAAAAAAAAACACTGAACATGACTGCCCCAAAACAGCATTCCCAACATTTAAAAAAAATGCCAGGGCACATGACAGGATACTCCTAGGTGGCCTCTCCTTCTGCAGGGGTTCCTTGGTTTACCAAAGAGCTCTGGAAGATGAATTGCAAAAGGAAATACTTGAAGGAACACTGGCAGATGATGAGTAAGGAAGATGATCCAGGAGCCATTGTCTAGGCAAAAGGGGCTGAAGCATTTTTTAAGCCCAGAACAGCAAGATAACATTCAGATGCTGCTCAGGCAGATGCCTCCCTAATTCATGTGGATATACTGTAAGGAGGAGGTACAGCACAATCAAACTTGTAAGATTTTGTTATAACAATCTCAAAGTAGTTTTAGCTTTCCCGCAGAATTCATTTCATGGTATGGTCTACCTAGTGGGGCCGATAGTGACAATGACTAGATATAGATATGAATCCATGTTTGGGCCTACAGCATGGCAGTAAGTGTAGTGATGAATCAGTAAGTTTTCAGCACTTACTGTGTCTGCAGACTCCAGACCAGCTGTTTTATTTAGAATGATTTGTTCCTTTTTGGGAACACCAGAAGATTTTCCTGCTGGGTCTTTATGAGCAGTTTGCTAAGCACTTTGAAGACAATGTTGCTCATATTCTCTCTGAGCTATGTGCTTGATAGGCAGTCTCATGAAATGACAGAGGTAACATCCAAGGAGATCATCTGGGATTCTTTAATGCCTGTGATATTCAAGTCAACAGAATCCTCTATGGGTTGAGCTCAGCTACCTCAGAATCAGAGACTCGTGGAGCTGGAAGGGCATAAGGATGATCTAGTCCAACTCTGCAAATGTGCAGGCAAATCATTTAAACCATCCTTGAGTGGGGGCCGCCCAGCATCCTCTTAAAAAATTCCTGAGATGGAGAACCCACAACCTCCATAGGTAGATTGTTCTACTGTTATACAAATTTTAACATCGGGATGTTTTTCCTTTAAACATCTATGTAATTGCAAATTATACCTGTTATTTCTAGTCCTAGTTTCTGTGGCAGTGGAAAATAATTCCTGACCATCTTCACTGATATAATGGCACCCCTTAGTCTTCATATCTCCAGACTGAATATCCCAAATTCCTTCCTGTCCTCAGGTCACTATATCCTCTTTGTTGCCCTCCTCTGAACCTGTTCTAATCTGGCAGTATCCTTCTGGAAAGGTAGTGCCCAGAATTGTACAAAATATTCCAGGTGTGGTCTCACTAGCTCAGAGTAGCAGGCAGCAATGCATCTTTGATACAGTGCTTCTTGAAATGCAGCCAAGAACCATGTTAACCTTTCTAGCAGATATCTTACACTGCTGGCGCCTGTTAGGGTTCTTGATAATAACCACATCCAAGTCTTCTGATGTAGTGTGTCTAAACCATGAATCCCACATCTTGTATGTGTACTCTATTTTTTCAAACCTTTCTCCCTATTCACTTTATAATACACTTTGTCTATATCAAAAATGCACAACACTCTTGCACACATGCATGTATTTCTCAATTACGTGCTCAAGGTCAGGAATCTGGTCTGGTATATCCCTGCCTAGCTTTTCCTAAATTTTGTTGATTGCCACCTGTCCTCCTCTCTTGATCAGAATTCTTCCCAGACCCACTTAATAAAGTAACCCCCTATAGCTTTTGCATTGGCTATTCCTATCTTTTTTCTACAGGGGAAGATATAACATAAAGAGAAACAATGTTTTCTTATATAAAAACAAAATTATTTGGGTGTCTTACATTAAGGTTAATATTCCTTCTTAAAAGAGCTATTGCATACTATATTAGTATTTCCTATGTAATAGGAATCAGCAAATCCAATGAATACAATTTGTACTTATATATATGAGACTTGGTGAAAAAGGTGCATGGTTATTATTCATGAAGCTGATACGGCTGAAACATGCCATTACATTTTCTATTTTTTTTTTTTTGTCTGCGCTCAGTCGTTACTGACTCTGCAGTGACTGCTTTTTGGACGAGTCCTTTTTGCAGTTTTCAAGGCAATTGTTTTT